AAAATAACATAACGACGTTCATATCGTTTCAGTACAAATTTGACGAGTTTGAAACCGTTCCAGTTCAAATAATAACTACAACGACATAGATATCGTTTCTTTTCATGCAAAACGATAATTATATCGTTTTGGCTAAAAATAATGATTCGATCGTCCATAACCACCCAACATGCCTTCAACATACGTAGGACGATCGAATATGGTCATCAAGTGGGTTGATGTCACTTGAATGACTTAGAAAGAACGAACGAAAATACTCTTTCTACGGAATAGTTCGAAAGTTGTATATAGTCATGAGAACACAAATATTCTCATAGTTTCTTTTGAGTGAGATCGAACCCACTTGATGACCTATTTTAATAGTCCTACATATGTCGGATGCTTGTTAAGTGATCGTGGACAGTCGAATCATCATTTTTAACAGAAAAGATATAATTATCGTTTTATATAAACTAAAACGATATATGTATCATTTTAGTTATGATTTACATTGAAACGATATCAATGTCGTCAAAATTGTACTGAAACGACATGGATGTCGTTAGGTATCAAACCCACGAAATAACATAATAATGTCCATATCGTTTTAGTACAAATTTGACGAGTTTGAAATCATTACAGTTTCAACAATAACTACAACAACATAGACATTGTTTCTTTTCATACAAAACGATAATTACATCGTTCTGACTAAAAATAATGATTTTATCTCTCTAAATTTGTACTGAAATGATGCGTATGTCGTTACGTTATTTCGTAAGTTTGATACTTATGATTTGTTGTCCTTTTTTTAAAATTATGTGAGAAAAGGTCTCCATTGAACGAAGGATAAAATTTTGTGAGCAGTGTATTTTTCATACTGGAACAACATCAATTTCGCTTTATATCTCAGGAATGATTTCAATATCGTTATGTAAATTAGTCCAATTTTCGTACTAGAACGACATAAATATCGTTTTGTATTTCAGGAACGATTTTAATGTCGTTATGAAATCTATGCATTTTTCATACAAGGATATTTTAGTAGTTTACAAATTGTATTTTCCTTTTCTTTGTATCTTGAGGCCATTAACTAAAAAACTTAGTTGGTGGACTTATTAAACTAAATCTTGATTTGACTAGTCGCATTAAATGAAGTCCCCTAATTGACTCTTGAATTCGATAAATTACTCATTTTTTGTTAAATTCTTGTAATTGTCAATTGTCTGACTGTTGTTCAATTACATAGACAATATTAGGATTGTTTTTGGAACATGCGATTATATCAAGAGATAAATTATATTTCTAGCTCAAATAACACACAAATATCTCTATGCAATCCTTATTGATATTCGCATACTTTATAAGATATAGTTGGGTTATAGATTAAAATTACTATAATTTATTTTGAGAAAAAAAAAATTAACACATAAGGAATATCAGTTGTCAACATAATATAAGAATTGTGTCCTTCGTACTTTGATTAACAATGGAAGATTCGTTATCTTAGTGCCCTTAGTACTTTGATTAATTCCAAGAATTTGCGTGCTAGATTTCAATTGATTTTTTCCATAAATAATTAGATTTAGTTGAAATCAAGTGGGATACATAGTTAATTAGTCCGTAAGCTCCTGATTTCAATCATAACCCGTAGTTAAATTAAAATACGTAGTTAATTTGTTTCCGTGAAAACGATATACTACTAATCTCTTTATTAATTGTAACAACCCATTCACTTGCAAGATAAAATCAACAACAATTTTTCAGTTAACATGTGAAAACTTTGTATTGACCGCATGCTAATCACGACTACGCGTCCCAAATAGGCATTGCACGAGTCATGGAAAAAGGAAAAAAAAGTCCTCATGTGAAGAAACTGCATTTATAAATCATGATAGTGCTGTAAAGACTTGGTTTTCCAAGTCAATCATGGAAAAAGGTAAAAAAGTCTTGTTCATATGATAGTGCTGTAAAGACTTTATAAATTATGGCGTGATTGTGGAAATAATATCTCTAAGCTCAACCAATTCAAGTTATTTTAGTTTTCCAAAAGGGTCCTACACTATACCGTGTCTGATGCATTAGTGCGATTATAAAATATTGATTATATGAACACAAATAACTCAAAAAATTAAGCATTTTTAATTACTGTCAGAAAAAAAAAATAATGGAGCTCAAAATACCGCAATTGCTACTTTTTTTGTGCATGAAACTATTGGTTTCTGGAGTTGGGGCTGCTGAAGTTAGGTGCATAGAGAGGGAGAGACAAGCTCTTCTGAAGTTTAAGGAAAGCCTTACTGGTGATCTTAGTGTGTTAACGTGGGGAGTGAAGAAGATAAAGAGGAATGCTGCTATTGGTATGGTGTGGATTGTAACGACACTAGTCACGTAACCTTTCTCGGTCTGGATGATCTGCATTTAAGAGGTAAGTCCAGCATTGCAAGAGTTGCAGCACTTGAACTATTTGTCCCTCAGAAACAATTATTTGACAATCGATAATCTTGATTGGCTTTCTAATGTTTCTTCTTTAACTCATCTTGACTTGAGCGGCATTAACCTTGGCACTGTAACCAACTGGGTACAGCCAATAACAAAACTATCTTCACTCAATACATTGCTCTTGTCAGGTTGTCAACTCAGTGATCACCCTTTGTCTGCATTTGACGTCTTTGCAAATTCTTCTTTGTCCTCCCTTTCTACTCTTGATCTCTCCCATAATCAACTACACGGTCCTATCCCTCACTTATTTCAAAATCTATCAGAGATAACATCACTACAGTTTTTAAATTTATCTGACAATCAACTTGTTGGTTCCTAGCAAGATATCACCAGATTTTCATCCTTACTGTTGAATTACTTTGTAAATAATAGGGTCAAATTAGTCTTTGTACATTCTAACCATTTTCTGTTAGAGAAGTCAATGTATATATTATGCCTGCTGGTACACTCCAGCTCAATTTAATTTCAAGGAAACAGATTTTCCCTTTTTTCTTCCCGCTTCCATTTCCTTCGCTCTCTACATTTTGATATGGTATCAGAGCACTGAAACTTCCGCACGATAATGGTGAAGGATTCTGATGTTCAAGCAGAGATCGATGTTAATTCTCCAGTCGATCGAATTGCTGGAGAAACAGCTACTGAAAATATGATTTCGATGATGAATAAATTGGTCAATGATCCAAATAGTCCATTCTACTTACATTACGGTGACAACACTGGAATGCAGCTCATTTCAGTCATGCTTGTTGAGGATAATTACGCCACATGGAGCCGTGCCGTTATCATGGCACTTAGTGTGAAATACAAGGAGGGGTTTATTGATGGGTCAATTATAGAACCGCCTCAGGATGATGTTCTTCACCATGCTTGGAGGAGATGTAACCATGTGGTTTCTTCATGGATTATTAATTCCATTCCAAAGGAATTATACCCAAGCGTGATGCATAAAGAATCAGCAAGACAGATCTGGATCGAGTTGAAAGATAGATACAGCCAAGGTAATGGTCCCAGGATATATGAAATTAAGAAGCAAATCGCTTCTATCTCTCAGACCAATAGTTCTGTGAATGCTTATTTTAATAGATTAAAAGGACTTTGGGAGGAACTTGAGAATTATAGACCTAGTACTGACAAGGTCGATTACAAGTCTGAGGATCAGGTCATGCAGTTTTTGATGGGGTTAGATGACCAATTTTCAAATGCAAGGAGCCAGATCTTGCTAATGGATCCACTTCCTCCACTCAATAAAGTCTTTGCCCTAATTCTACAAGATGAAAGGCAGAAGGATGTAATTGCTAAGAAACAATAGAATTTTGATGCTGCTGCTTTTGCTGGTAGAATGGTTCATAACTCCTTTACCAATCAAAGAGCTCACTCATTTAATCAGTCACAGAGAAGAGATAAGCCTATATGCACTTATTGTGGAATGATTGGGCATCTTAGGAACAAATGTTACAGAATAGTTGGCTATCCTCCTGGTCATAGGCTAGCAAAAGCAAAGGATCTAGTTGCCAATGTTGTTGGTTCAGTTTCTCACAACTCTAATTCCGGTGTTGTGAATTCTCTATCAAACATTACTATCACTACGGGACAATGCCTACAGATCTTAGCAATGCTTACTCCACACCTAAAGGAACAAGCCTCTACTGGCAGTCAACAACCTAGAGAAGTGGTTTCATCACCACAAGTTCCAGAAGCTTTTGCTTTCTCAGGTAATCGTATATGTCTTAATGACTCCATAGCGGCAGAAAAATGGATATTGGACACAGGAGCTTCAGAGCATATGGTTTGCTCGATGAAATACCTGATTACTGTGAATGCAAAAATTAATGCATCTGTGAGACTACCAGATGGTTCTATTGCTGCGGCTACACATATTGGCACAGTAAAATTGTTTAATGATTTCACATTGATGAATGTTTTAGTTGTGCCATCATTTCAATTCAACTTGATCTCTGCTAGTAAATTGATACTTCAACACAATTGCTTCGTCATATTCATTCATAATCATTGTTTTATTCAGGATCTTTCAACATGGAGGATGATTGGGGAAGGCAGGCTTGAGAATGTGCTGTACAACCTTCAACATTCTGGATATTATTACAGTGATCAGTCCTCACCTCTTCATCAACAAGTTTCTTCTATTCCTGTTGTTTCCTCTGTTCTTGCTGTTTCTCCCAGTACCAGTTCATATTTGAAATGTAATAATTCAGGACTAGTTACTTGTAATTCTGTTGACAATATTGATGTTCAAACTAAGATTGATGTCTGGCATTGCCGTTTAGGGCACTTACCTATCTCAAAATTGTCTTCCTTACGAAAATTGGTTCCAAATATTACTTTTAATAAACATTTGCATTGTTCTATTTGCCCATTAGCCAGACAACACAGATTGCCCTTCCCTGTTAGTGAAACAAAGTCATCCAATATCTTCGATCTCATTCATTGCGAGCTCTGGGGGCCCTATTCTGTTCCTTCCCTAGATGGATCGAAATATTTTTTAACAATTGTAGATGATCTCAGCAGAATGACCTGGACTTATCTGTTACGTGAGAAGTCTCAAACTAAATCCATAATTCAGTCTTTCTATCATCTGATTTTAACACACTTTAAGTGTAAAATCAAAACACTTCGATCTGACAATGGGTTAGAGTTCCTCATGCCTGATTTTTATCATGATAAGGGAATAATTCATCAATTGAGTTGTGTAGAGACACCACAACAAAACGGGGTGGTTGAGCGAAAACACCAACATCTTCTAAATACTGCCAGGGCTCTCAAATTTCAAGCGAGTTTACCTCACAAATTTTGGGGAGATTGTATTCTCACTGCAACACATTTGATAAATAGGATACCCTCCTCTGTTATTGGAAACAAGTCTCCTTATGAAATGCTATATCAGGTCCCACCTTCTTACAATCATCTCAAGGTTCTTGGTTGTCTTTGCTATGCCTCTACACTTAAGAGAAATCGTACCAAGTTTGATCCTAGAGCTACTCCTTGCGTTTTTCTTGGGTATCCTTACGGCATGAAGGCTTACAAACTTTATAACCTTCAAACACATATGACATTCACTTCACGAGATGTGTCTTTCCATGAGACTATTTTCCCTTTTCAAAATCCTGCATTTCTTAACTCTCTGTCTACATCCTATATGCCTTATCACAGTGATCAAACTCTTTTCTCTACCTTGCCTCAATTCTTTCATGACGCCATTGATTCTTCTGATCCTGCACCTGTTACTGGTGAGGTTGTGTCTCCTATCACTTTTCCTAATATTTCTTCATTTTCTTCAGATAATAATTCTTCATCTCATAGTCTTTCCTCCCCAGCCACATCTTCACCGGAA